TCAATTGAGGTTTCAAAATAGGCTTCTTGAGGTGTCATAGCTTCGCACAAAGGGGTGTCGAACTTGGAGGTAAGCAGTGCCCTCTCGGTGCCGATCAACTCACGACGGTGCTTTCGGGCCTCAAAGAACTCATGGCGCCATTCCTTTGAAACTATTTTATGGATGGGTTTTGCTCAGATATGAAGCTAGAAACTAGGCTTGATAGAAGGGGTTCTGAGAATCCTGAGAATCTTTGCATGATTCAATCCAGGACACTCTTTCTTTGTGAAGAAAAGGGATCAACATGAGCCAGAAGAGAACTATTCAAGTTCTTGGCCTCCAAAAGAACTGCCTGGAAACCCAAATAAGCATGAAACAATTTGGTTGTTCCAAGTTCTGGCGCCAGCGCCATAGATCCTTGATATAACAAGTGGTTGGGACTGTGGAGTTCCATCCTCTGATTTTCTTTCTGCTTGGAACTCGGGCTATACCTCGCTTGGTCCTCGGTCCCTCGTTGTCTCAGGATCACCATCATCGAATTCGAACGGATGTTCGATGATGAAGTCGCTCGGCGAAACAACAAGGGTGGGGCGGTGTTGTTTTGTTTGTTTGTCTGTTGATGAATCAAGGCTCCCTTCCAGAATGGTGGATAACACCTCCAGTCCTTGAGGGATTTTCTTCGTTAATCAACAGCTTGCATTAGGCTCCTCCATTGAGGCAGAGGCCAATGGGTCCATGTCGGCGAGCCTCCATGACGATGTGAGCAAGTTCACGTTGACGACACATTGACGACATGATACTTACAGACTCAATAGATACACCCTGGCTGACTCACATAGAAGTGGATGGCATGACCCCTTGCAAGACTACTTTCCTGTACAAAGGGTTTTCCACGTCCATAGTGAGTGAGAGTGTACTGAGAATGAGAGCGAATTCAAGGTTTCAGCAAGTGGGTATGGGTAGTGCCCTAGATGTTGAGCCCAAGCATCTCCCCCATGTACTCAGGGAAGCTCAATTTTTGCTGGTTTCATTGCAGATGCCACCACCAAGCTGCGTTGGCTCTTGACTGCCGACCAGTGATTTCCTCGCCTGGAGATGAGCCGGGTCGGCCGGCCCGAGGAGATGAAGGCCTTCTTCCAATCCATCGAAATCAATGCGGTTGATGCCACCCAGCTGCAGATGTCATCGGCGTCAGTTGTGGGCCGCTGAAGTCCGTGGCATTTCAGCCTACAGGGCTGCTACTACGCCCTTCAGGGGTGTGCGAAGGCGAAGGCCCTCACATCGGGACTGGAACACAGCTGTTGACCTTGAAGTGATTGAATCCTAGATGTGGCTATGGGTCAAAACCGCGAGACCGGTTGACCAGCGAAAATGAACAGAATGAACTACTATGGAGGTTCACCTATCAGGGTTTGGGGCTTCGGGTTTTGACCTACAGCCATGTCTCTAGGGTCAATGTAGGTAAATATTCCAGCCCCATGGATCGATCGTTAGGGTCTGAAATCAGGGACACAGAGCTGTGCCAACTGCACAGAGCTGCTGTGGTGTGCTGGGTCGCTTCACCTCGGACCTGGTGGAAACCGACCGATGGACCTGGAGGAAGGCGAAGCAAAGCACGGCTTTCAACACCCTCCAAGGGTGGAGAGCTACAGTCACTGGTTCGAAACCGTACGTAGCCTTCGCCCGCCCTGAGCCATCCTAACGTCCTTGTATATAAAAGAATGGAAACCTAATAGGTTGTGGGCCTAACTTGGACATACCTGGACTTGGTCGAGAAAATGCTGGAGGATACTACCTCTGGCTGGGTCCATGTTGAATCAAAAACTCCTCCACAGCCACTCGAACCTGCCTTTTGCTTCGAAAACTGGGGTTGAAACCGTTTTCGCTGTTTTGTAAGAAAGTCCCTGGCAGCATCGGTGAAAACAACGAAGAGACTGGTCAGTCGTCATTCTAGAGACTGAGATTTGGCGCTGAGATAGGGAATGGTGCAGAGTTGCAACTCTTTAAACTGCAGGTTGTCCGGAAAAGACTAGAATCTGGCCCCTCGCACTTCTTTCCAGCGATCCTTGCTTCTTGGACATTGCAGACTCCGTTGCCAGTTGCGGCACAGAAGTTGGACGTAACAAAACCGAGCAAGTCGTCCCACACTTTGGTCAGCTGTCGGCAGTTTCCCCCTGTTTGGGAACTGCTTTGCTTCCATTCTTTAAAACATTGATCTTTTCAGAGGTCCTTCAAAAATTGGAAGGGACCCAAAGTTCCCTTCTCATGTCTTCTCATGTCTCACAGGGTGCCGACCAGCTGTCGGCGCTCTTCACCCCGGGCCAAAATGGCCTCCCCACACCACGTGCTATGTGCGATGTCGTTGGCTCCCCCAAACAAACTCCAAACACCGTGGCCCCTAGGATTTGTGGCCCACTCATCGGATTTCATTGCCATTACCCGAACTAAGCTGTTTGACCGAGGATTTGAACTGTTACAACATACCAGGTAACTTCCCCATATTCTAAAACTCTGGAATTCTCTTGTTCGGCAGCGGTGATTCAGCATCCGAGGCCTGGACGTTGTTTGACAGTTTGGACATCGACGGTGACCACACGATCAGCCTCGAGGTGGGCACCGGGCACCCTCCGCGGCGTCTTTCCGTTGTGGGCGACGTCGTGCCGGGTACCGCGTGTGGGGTACGTAGTTGTTGGCCCGTTTGCAGTTCAAATCAGGTGCTGTTGATCCAGGCAAGGAGAACAATCTCCTACTGACTACAAGCCGTGGGGCTCAAAAAGCCAATCGTGATGTGCTTGTTCAAGAATCTTAACACACCATGTGCGATCTAGGCCTTTAGTCTTACGAACTCTTTTCCTGTATCCTAGACATTCATCTATACAATAACCTAGGACCCAGTTGAAGCTAGGGCCCACTTGATATGAGTGACACCTGTTTTGATAAGAAAAGACCCTATTTAGGGGGATGGTGTGTGATGTAAAATAGGGCTCACTCAGGTCTATCATATATCCAAGATTATCATAGATCAATGAATCAATGATCCATGTAAGCAAATATCGCCTATACACATGTTTATTTTTATTTTTTGTGGCGAATGTCGATCATAATATTGTATTATGGTCACATTGACCTGTAATAAAATAGGTCCATTATTTGATATAAAATATAGTAGAATATATTTTGGTATGGATCGTTTATCGTTCATTGAAGATCTGCGGTCGTCCGAACTTCGGCAACTTTACCGAAGCCGCCGCGTGGGCGTCGCGGCAAGGAGTTCTCCTCGCGCTGCATGCAGCTGCACGGCCCAGCCCGCTCGGTGGATTTGCGCCTTGGACGATGGCGTAGTTTGTCGGCGAGACGGTTGAAATCGGTGAGACTGTGGGGTGACTGTGATCGTTTTGGGGGGAGAATGCTTCATGATGACCATTCAATTACTATACCCAAAGAACTTGGATTCTTCAAGAAGTTGGACTTCGGTGGGCGAGAGCTTTCAGTCTTCAGTTGCAGCGCGCCGGCGCAGCGCGCCTGGGCTGTGGCCACAGCCAGCCCGTGTTGAGTCCGCTTTGGGGCGAAAGGGTGCCGTGGTTTTCACGTGATGTTTTGGACGCTAAGAAGGAACGCTTCAGGTTTTAGGGCGCCCACTTTTTGTGGCTAACAGGTGTCAGACTGTTGCACCTTTTGGACGCATCAGGGATTGGGAATGACGTCATGTATTTTATGAAATGAGACCGGAGACCTCCTTGTTTATGGCCCCTGGTTGGGTGGACTGCAGTCATGGTTTATGAACCCGGTTTCCCGAACCCCAGAGGCTTTTAAGACCACCCCACCTGGGAGGTCTTCCTAGTTGGAAGCAAAGCAGCGCTTCAACGTCAAGCGGTGGACCTACATGTTGTCGACTCCTTGGAAGCTCAGTTCGTACCTCGGAACACCTGTTTTCTTTATGGGATCATGTCATGGTCATGTCACCATTTTCGGTACTTGAAGTCGGGTCCAGGTCCTTGAACTCCGGCCAAGCCCATCACCTCGGCCACATCGCCCAAATCGAAGTCTCCCCTTCCGTGCCGTGGGGAACTGGCGGCCGAACCAACACCCGGGCGCCAGGTGCGTCACCGAACCTCGGCCGCTGTGTGCCGACCGTAGCGCCTACCCCAGCGGTTCGCTCGTCAACGCCCACGCCCGAGGTATGCCCTGAAGAAGGACCTGCGGACCTTGGAGGAGCAGATCGGGGACCGGGGGACCTGATCGATTTTCGTGGATGTTCCAGATGTTCCAGATCTTTTCTGGAGAGCTGCTATTCAGCAAAAGCTGGAGCGCCTTGTCTCCTAGAAGTAGAAGTCATCACCGCCGCAGTAGCCTGGTGGCTGTCGCAGTAGCCTGGTGCTGTGCAGTGACCAGAAAGCAACAAAAAAGTGGCTTCACACAAACCCCAGCGCCCAACGGTTCGTCGTTCTTTGTTGAACGAACGAATCCCATCAGATTGGTCACTGGGGCGGCTTGGCACGAACGAAACATTAATATCACTGCTATGATATATACCCTAGGAATCCAAGTACCTTCTCAGAAGGTACCCGGACCCTCGAAACCTACATAACACTCCAATCACCGTACCTGAGGTTCGGTACGACTGGATCCCTAGGGATATGTTCTTTGATCAGCAAGAGGCATAGAAAACCCCTAGAACGGAACTGAAATGCTAGAACACAGAAATTAGCATATATATAACATATTATATAAGATCACATCATAGAAGTTCTCAGCACAAAAACCACACCTCTGACCCCCAACCTGAAACTACCCAGCAAACCGATGGAGTCCCAGCTGATTGGTCTCCGCCCACTTTTTTCTCCTGTCCTTCAGTCCAAACACTCCGCAGAATCCGCGAATCAGCTGAATCGGCAGGAGAATCAGCAGCAGATTCATCAAGAGCTCACGGATGTGTTGCATCACCATTTGGGCCGCCTCATCAAGCCCTTGAGGACGGACGAAGCACGTGAATTCACGCCCAGTCGCGTGTGAAACTGGTGTGCCAGAAAGGCAAGGTCCGTTGGAGAACACTTTGTTGGGATGATTCAAGAGGACTTGGAGGCTGATGATTCTTGAACAGTGGGTCTCCGGCTTTTCGGAGCGATACAAGTCTTCTCTTCGCCCGTAAACGGGAGGTTGATGGTGTTCTGCTGTGCTATGTGTTCCCGCAGCCCTACTTTCTCGCATGAAACCACGGGCAAAAAAAACATCTTTTGTACCGAAGCAATCCACCGGCTCGGGTGGTTTTTCTTTTGCACCGGACCATAGACTCTTCTGCACGTCCTCCGGCCATTGCTACTTGTTTTTCCTCCTAGACCCAGTGGCTCTAGCGAGTCACACGACCAGAACACCCTGAAAACCGTACCCTAGGCTTCCTGCCCACCCTGACCATGCTTTACCTATAAGGATTTGATAGGATTTTGTAACATTCTTTGACCGAGAATCGGTCCACCTTTCGTTCAATGGGCTTGGAAGGCTAGGGTGTATAAGATTTTGATATAGATTTTGTAAGACACGCCAGTCCCTAAATCATAAGCCAAGCAGCTCAAAAAGAGGGAGGGCTTCCTTTTTCGGTTGTTTTACACGATTTTTGTTTCGTTCCCTGGGCTTCGCGACGAGTGAAGCTCCAAAGCCGCGCAGCGAACCAAAGGGGCGAATGCTCGCCAGGAGCCATGTGGATCTTCGCAGGTCCTCGAGCCTTCACGAGCAGTCCGAGGGCGATGGTTATTTTTCCACATGAAGAGGATCGTGCATCGCTTGGTCATCGCTAGGTCCATCAGATCGGCAGTTGAGTTTGGATCAAAAAGCAGGGTGGCACCCCTACCTGGACCCGACTGACCCAGTAAATTAAAGGGTGACATGACCCATGTTTCGAGGTACGAGTTCCGGGTCGACTCCAGGTAGGCAGGGCATGGCAGGGCCCCAGGGCATCCGATCCCTATACCGTTGTCACACGGCCGTCAATGCAGAAAGAACACATCCCAAACGCTCCGTGGGGCCGCCGGGCCACAAGGAAGTTGACCCTCGAACTTATGGAGGCTGACAGAGGTCTTGGGGGTCGATGAACAAGTCCCAATCTGTCCCAATGTTTTTGTTGTTTCAACACATACGTACCATGTGTTTCTTTTTGCGGACTTCAGGGCTGTTCGGAACGTTTGATGTCTCGTCTCATTTCAATCATTTGTGATTTGTTTTGGGTTGAAAACGGCCGTCGCGTCGCGTAGGTTATGATGTCTTGGTCGCGGCGAGCCGTGCGCAGCCACGCGCAGCCCGGTCCTCCGAAACCCAAACCCTACAAATCCTGGTTCTCGCCATTTTGTTAAGGGGCCGGTGAAAGAAGGTCACGTCTGACTGACTCTATCATGGTCGGCCTTGTTGAGCAACAGCAGACTCACTTTTGAAAGCAAGGTTTGTACACGACAACACAAGACCGAAAACCAGACGAAACCTGCAATGCATGCAACAATGACATTAGCCAGAGGCTCATGGACTCTCAAGCTACATGTGTGAGGTCCCAAACCATCCAAAAAACCTAGTTGTGAGGGTCAAAGCCGTAGCTATGAGGGTCCTTTCTAATGTCGGATCCTGAATGGTACATGGCCCCCCTAGCAAACAATCGAATAACATATATGGTAGCAGAGGTAGCAGTCGTTTTAGTAGTGGTAGTGGTAGTAGTGGTGGTAGTAGTACTGGTGGTGGTAGCGGTGGTAGTAGTGGTGGTAGTAGTAGTAGCAGCAGCAGCAATAGAGTTAAGTAAGGATCTTAAAAGGGCAGCAATAGCAGAATAACATAAAAGTAAATATAACAATATTTTAACATATTTTTCCTAGGGCTTCAAGTTTCCATATTATTTCCACCAAACAATTCGTATTATTCACTTCCCCGGGGCTTGTGACTGAGTACTACCCCCCTTAAAAAGAAGGTCTTCACGTCAGAGTTCCGGTCAGAGTTCCGTGAATCAATAAACAGTCAGTATTTGTAGTAGCAGCAGTAGTAAAGCAAGCAGCAATAGCAGAAGAATAGAAGAATCAATTCATAGACCTAGAATGCCTAGAATCCCTAGTTCCTTATACCATAGTGACTTAGTGGCAACTGGGATCCACTGGGTTAAATATGAGGATCCCAACGTGACCCACTACGGTTGGGGTGTCGACCCACAAACATGGCCTGAGTCGCAAACGAAGCACAGAGATCTTCATTTTTTGTATTCCCCGAAAACACCTACCTAGAACTTCCAACGGGTGTGCTATTTGGAGATCTGCAAGTATTGTAGGTTTGTGCAGCCACGTGATTTGTTGGAAGTACAAAATTAGCTGGGTATATATATGTATATATGTTCCTTGCTTTGTTTCGTTTTGATTCAAGCCCTTTTCATGTTTTCGTTTTTGTTGGTCGTCAAGAGGAGGATTCAGTCACATTCCCATTTGGGGCCACGGGCTGATTCCTTCGGGACCGGTGGTGCCTCACCAGGAGCCGACGACGAAGAGACGCCAGTGGAGAGCTCCTCTTGACGTTCGATTCGAAGAGAGGAACCGACAGTTGAGAGGTAGTTCATATGGAGGTCTTTGAAGCTACAAGTAACAAGAAGCTTAGGCCGTAGGCCGATCTCAGCCTTTCTGGAGTTCTGACCTCCTGGGTTTGTGTTGGTAAGAAGACGGTTCGACCCCTGTGAAAGGGTGTGAATGGTGAAAGACCATCAAAGACTCATTTGTGTCTACAGAGTTGGTTTTTGGACCAGAATTTTCCAACAGGTCTACCTTTTTGGAGGGTATCAACAGCCAGTGAGGTAAGTGGTTGTCAGACATTTGTTTTACGAACACTTGTACTTTGCCGGAGCATACTGGAGCTTCTGAGAAAGTTTGTGACCAGTGTTGCTTGCAACCAGGAGAGCAGGGACATATATGACAGGCCAAACCAGTGGGACATGAAGCCAATACTGGGCTCATTTGGGCTCATATATGATCTTATATTGGGCTCATTTGGTCTCCATCCCATCTGAATGTATGCTCAATCAACAACATCAGCTTGTATTTTTTTGCGGATTTGGTGATGTTGATTTTCCTGACCTGGGCCAATCCACTTCAGAATCTGTATTCTTCCCCGCCGCAAATCGAAGAGGATTCGAGCAAGCTCTAACTCGGAGCTCCACTGACCACGACCGCCCTTCGTTTCACCCTTTTTTTCAGCGTCAGGGTCCACGGCCGTCGGACTTTGGGTGCGTTTTCAAACGCCAGAGGTGCTTTGAGGTGTCGTGGGGAAACGGAAAACGCCGACCTTCCGGGGATGTCTATCGGCGTCACCTACCTCTCGGGGCATCCGAGACCACCATTTGCCGCACAAAAACGGAGGTTCTGTACCTCGTTCCATGCCATGTTTGGAAGCGAGTGGGTATCGACCATGGTGAAGTCAGTAGGTACTGAACAGCAGACAGTGGTTCCAATATTCCCAGACTGGAGTTGATTTAAGGTAACATCCTTCAGGAAACTCCTCACAAGAAGAGTCAAGAGTCTGCCAATTTTCTCCCTGCGAAGCTGGAAGTACTAGTCATAAGTTTCATCAAATGTGGTTAATCGCATGTCTTCCCTCCTTCGTCTTGACCCCAGCAGGGATTGGCGGACAATTAATTTGGTGGGGAAATTCCATCCATTTGCTTCTGCTGGGGACGGTGTGTGTCAAGGTAGTACAGCCACAGCAAGGACGTTCGGAATGGTTTCGAAAACAGCAATGGAGATTGTGCCAGTTCCGAAAATAGCAATCCAAGGCACTCCCGGACCTCTATTACTCTACTTCTTGCACAAACCATCAGACGTGATGCAGTAATTACTGGACTAGTAAGTACTGGACTGGTACCCGACCTCATGAAACCTGGGTCCAGTCATGCAATTTTGCAGTAGTCAATGAGGTCGGTCAGACCAGGTTTTTCTTGGCAGACGATCCATGTAAGCCAATTAATTCCCGTATTTGGTGGTTGTTGGTGGTGACATGTGGTGACTGTAGGTCAACTTACATGCATCGTTTGGATATGGCTATCTAGGAGTAGACCAACGAGCTCTGAGCGATGAGACGTGCCTTCCGTCGAAGCGACTCCGTTCACTCGAAGTGATTCAGCCGATTCGCAGACCCTGCCGACCCGAGCCGACCGAGCCGAGTCGTGGAGCCGAGTCCTGGTGGTTTTTCCATGTCTTTTCACCGTCCATAGGTGTGGGAGTGGACCTTCCTTGGCCGGATCAGTTTTTCGTGTTCATCCGTCTCCTGACAGGATGACAGTGACTCCGCAGCTAGGGAGGGGGTCGTAACAATACGCGTTTTCTTGGAGAGCATGACTTGTGGTACCTTAAACGCGCATTCCTCGATGTACAGTTGAAAGAACTGACGAGGCAGAGAACACCATCGGATTCTTTCTGACAGACCGGGTTCAGACCCTTTTCACTGCCTAAGCCTTCCAAGAACATTGAAATTCAGACTGACCTGGTTTTATGGTTGGGCGAGCTGTCGCTTGTACACTTGAAATTTGGGTCGCTTGTGCACTTGAAATTATGGTCGCTTGTACACTTGACATTTGAGCACTGTCCGAACATGTCGTCACCAAACGCTTTAGGTTGGTCGGTCTTACACTGAACATACATTGAAAACCGATGAGGAAAACCCAAGACCGAGGTCTTCCATTGAGCATACATTGAAAACCGATGAGAGACCGATGCCTCTGTATCATACATCGGATAAGTACTACTACTTGTACTTGAGGTCTTCCATTGAGCATACATTGAAAACCGATGAGAGACCGATGCCTCTGTATCATACATCGGATAAGTACTACTACTACTACTACTACCACCAATAGTACTGCCACTACTAGTAGTGCATGCCACTACTACTACTGCCACTACTGCTACTACTACTACTACTACTACTACTACTACGACGCTTACTACGGAATAGAACCCTGCGTGCGTGTGTGTGTAAAGATGTTGACCTTGTCCAACTTGGCAACTTTTTCAGCACTTCTGAGTCCCTTTGTATGGTTGGCAACTGCAACCCCCCCCACCCCACCCCCCACCCCACAACTGAGTTTGTATGGCAGAAGTATGAAGTGAAAGGCAATCAAAACGTGAGTGCGTGCGTGTGTGTGTAAAGATGTTGACCTTGTCCAACGTGGCAACTTTTTCAGCACTTCTGAGTCCCTTTGTATGGTTGGCAACT